TAACACAGAGAATGCTGCAATCATATTGCAGAGTCTCTCAAATGGAGCATTTCTTATTTTTTTTAATCAAATTTCCGTGGCTATTTTCTTTCCCTTGGCTGCCTGTTTTCTCATATGTGCTTTCTTGTCGCAGGATCCTGAGTCTTTTCGAGGTCTGCTGCAGGACCAGGGGAATCACCGGGTTTTGCTGCCTCCTGGTGGCGGCCTCAAATATAGTCTCAGAGAGCTTTATTACAGCTAACACTTTATCGGGTAGTATTACTTTATGGGGTAATATTTCTTCTTCTGAGGTCTATCTTGCCTAAAGAATGGGATTTTTTTTTCTGGCAAGGTGCTAAAATTGAAACAAGTTGCAGAGTGCTTAAATTAACCCCAAGGAATTTAGTGATGACAAACCTGAACCTTAGAACAGAAATAATGCCAAGAATAGAGTCTGTGAGGTGGTATTCTATATACACCAGACAAGGAAACAAGACCCCGTCCTCAATTTTATCTAACTTAGAAATTACAATATAATAGGAGACAGTAAAAAGAAGCTCCTTACAAATTCCCCAAGAACAAGGGTACTCCAATTGTTCTGTTAAATGTGAGATTTATTTTGAAATACTCCTTGACGAGTGAAGAGCACAGGAAAGGACAATAGTTTCAAAATGAATCTGTGTATTGCAGCCGCCAAAGTGAGAGCACACCATATCATATGCTAACATGTATGTGTAAGCCAGTGCAGCCAGTTCCTAAGGTTTGCTGCCCTCAGTGTGAACACACTGATGTACTGCCCTCAGCGACTGACTCAATGACTACAAGTTAAATGATAATTTTTATAAATTTGATTATTCAGCGTTATCTTTGTCATCTTTTTTTTTTATTTCTAATCTCTCCCTTTAATCCCTTCCTAAGGCAAAAAGCAATACACTTGTTTAAAAAATGCTTATTTTAGATGCTGTTATCTTCCCATAATTTCCCACTACAGAAGATTTATCCAGATTCCTTTGACATATGCAATAAAGCCTGCACTTGTAAATACAATTAATGTTATACAGTATCCTATTAAAGTACATTAACTTATTAAATCTTATTAGATACTAATTATACTCAACTGGTGTTAATTTCATCATATCCTTCAGGGAAGGAACAACTATGGGTCAGGAACAACAATAGTCTCAAACCAAAGGATTTGTTATGGAATATAAATGTACCAGGGGTTCTGTGATAGAAAGTCTGTCAATAGAGATTTTCAACCAGCATTTTGGCCTGTTGAGTGCTACAAGACTAATATATAACTTTTAACATGCCCAGGCTCATTAGTTTAATGAGATAGTTCAATAACTACACAGTCTGTTCATTTAAGGGGAAACTGAGAGAGCATTATTTTTAAGATGTATCACTGTATTTCCCCACAGAAGCCAGTTCTTATGTACAAGTTATTATTTTTATAATTCAATGATATTTAAAGTACCATGTACAAATAAATAATTTAAGTTTCAGACTGAATGGGGATTACCTTAGAAAAACTGCTGTCATCAACTGCCTCCTCAGCTAACAACTAACTATTCTAGCCATGTTATGGTTCCTCCTTAAAAACACAGTTGGGATTTACAGCCCATTTCTTGCACAAAAAGAGGCAAGTGGGCAAGCTGTTTCAGAAATACCTCATGGATCTAGGTACTTCAAGTGCTCAGATATTCGGGGGAGATACTATCAAGGAGCCTGACACTCAGAGCACGGCATTTTCAAAAAAGACATTTTATAAAGCATTTCAGGACAAGCACTCAGAGTCAATATTATTAATCACTTTGGGAAACGCTAGGCTCATCGGTCATGTGCTATAAATGCAGTGGGTACCCTACTGTTGTGCATTTCATGCCTACTTGGGGAAGCAGGAGTAACTGTACAAGAGGGATTTTTAAAGCATATACATGAGTTACAGGCAAGTAGGCAAGGTACAAGAGGGAAAGATAATGCGGGGCACACATTAAAATCCAATTAAATTAAATCAGTGTGTTTCACTGTTGATAGGCACTGTTTCTGTTTGCCCTCTTGTAAACGAGGCATTTGAGTGTCAGTCTCTTTGGACTGAGTGGCCTTTTCAGAGAAATAAGAAACCAGCTGATTTCACCAAGATGAAAGGTATCTCTAGAGAGTTCCTCAGGGAAATGTGCATATTCTTGAGAGCAAGAAGGCTGGTATGTATATTCCCAATAATAGTCATATCTGTGAACTCAACATCTGCAAGTATTGCTGCTTTTTCCCCCATCTTTTGCTAAATTCATGTCTATTTGCTCATGAGGAGAAGACATCAGCACCTCATCCAGGAGGACCCCAAGAAGGATCACCCGGGCTGGGCAGCTCTACAGGATATGAAGACCAGCTGGTTCCTAAAGCAACAGGTCCTTCAGAGCACTGAATACTGAGAGAGAGAAACACTTTACCCTCAAGCTCATGAGGAGCCAGAACGATTGGGTATCCAAGCAACAGAAAGTTTGGGAAAGGATATAGATGGTGTTTAAGTATTCAAGGACTTGGATTTTGAACCACAGAGAAATGTTCAGTCCTCCATTCCTTGAGCATCCTCACCAATCCTGTTCTTGTTCTATACCACAGAGTGAATAAATACATACAGTTGTGCTGCAAGTTAACACTTCAGACCAAGGGAAAAAGAGGCAGAAGTTACCAGCAGCCCCCTGATAATAACTGCTCTAAGAAAGCTCACACATTTCATCAAGTGTGTTATCCCACCTGGATAATGTCTTGTTACTATGTTCTCACAGAGTGCTCCCTCAGCAAGTTTACTGATGACATGAAACTGGGAGGAGTAGCCGATACCCCAGAGGGCTGCGCTGCCATCCAGAGGGACCTGGACAGACTGGACCACTGGGCGGGGAAAAACCTCATGCAATTCAACAAGGCCAAGTGCAAGGTCCTGCATCTGGGGAGGAATAACCCCAGACACCAGTACAGGCTGGGGACTGAGCTTGTGGAGAGCAGCTCTGCGGAGAAAGACCTGGGTGTCATGGTGGACGACAAGTTGACCATGAGGCAGCAGTGTGCCCTCGTGGCCAAGAAGGCCAATGGGATCCTGGGGTGCATTAAGAAGAGAATCTCCAGCAGGTCCAGGGAGGTGATCCTGCCCCTCTACTCAGCCCTGGTGAGGCCACATCTGGAGTGTTGTGTCCAGTTCTGGGCTGATGATTCTCAATACCGTGCTATAGAGAGTATGCCCACAATGAATCAAAATAGCCAAAAAGAAGATAGAGCCCTGCACATATAAATATTTTACCAAGAAAGGGGAAAAAAAGGAAGAATCCAAAGAAATGTAGATATTTCCAGCAAATAGACTTTTTTTTTGGTCTGAATTTTTAGAGAAATTAATTCCTATACATATTAGCCACGTATCTTTCAGAAGAAACTTTGAAGGTGTCTCTTCCTTCCGTGGAGCAAACAAGCCCCTGGAACACAAATTCAGAGGAAGCCTTTTTTAAAATTTGAGTACACAGATCTGTGTGTAAAGAGACAACACTGAGGCAGTAGGTTAGTTCAGATTTGACAAAAGGCAGAAGTAGTGTGAGGTAAAATGAGTAATTTAGATGAAGGGAAATAAAGCAAATTGTACATGACAGAAAACCAAATCCTGCTTACTTTATTCATGTTCAATATTACCATAAGGGAAATTCTGCATGAACAAAATCAGCAATATTTGATCTATGGTACTGGCCCTATTCTCCTCCCACTAAGGGAAGAAAGATTGAGTTCTGACATGAGTAGCTGAAGTGAGTGATATTATAGAATGTTTGAGAGGTAAAAGAGCAAAACAGGTGTCAAATCATGGGCTGAGATCTGGTTTTATAAAAGAAAGCAGAATATTAATAGACAAGTAACAAGATATGACAATTAAAAATACATGCAAAAGGGTTGTGAATAGGGAAAACCCCCACAGGCAGTGATATATTTCGAATAACTACCCAAACCATGAAATAGGGGACATTAAGCAGAAGGAATAAATCAGGTAATGCAATCTGGAATAAAATATTGGAAGAGTAGCCTATGACACACAAGATGTGAAAGAGAAAACTGAAAAGGGAGTAATTCCTGGTTAAATTTTGAGAAACAGAGACATGCTTCAGGGTTTTAGGAGTTTAGAGTGAAAATGAAGGAGTAGCGAGGCACCAGTAACTGTAAGCAATTTATGTTTGTAATTACACTGAAAATTCCTGGGTATACATAAAAGGACTACAATTAATCTGAAAATATCTTAGAGGCACACAAAAAATCCTAGGAATAGGTGGATGGGGTAGAGCAATAGGGTTGAAGAGTGCAGAGGGGAAATGGCGAAAGTTAAAGAATAATCAATATATGCTCAACTATTAGATTGCTCATCTCATCAAAAAGAAACCTTGAGAGAAAAGTATACTAACATTGATGAAAAAAAGTATGCAAAAAAAACAAGTTATTGAGAAGAAAGAAGAGGCACTGGGGAGTTAAGATTATAAAATTACGATCGCAAACAAGACTCGAGGAGAAAAAAATCAGAAGACAAGAATGAAAGCTAAATTGCACAAGAGGTTAAAACGTATAATGAAATACTTTTAGCAATTGCAGAAGGAACCACTAAAGGTAACTGCAACAAATGAGAAGTGTTTGTCCAGTTCAGCTTCCCTTTGTTATTAACAGATGTTGAAATCAATGAGATCAATGGGTTCAGCTGAAGTATTTGAGTCATTCCCTTCTCTGATGATAGATGAAAGCTGTTCCAAGCTGTGGGCTAGATGACTGGTGTAAAGCCTGAATACTACAGTATGTGAAGAAATAAAATGCTTGCTTGACAGTGTGTTTATTTTGTGTATTTGTCAGCATTTGATAATTATCCACATTGCTGGTTTGCTGAAAGTTTGTCTCTTTTCTTCACCTCTGCAGAACAAAAGTGTATGCCAAGAAAAGCAGTACCAAATCTGGAAGTCAGGAGGCAGCAGGTAATGTACATAATGTAACAAAGTGTAAATAATTTATGCTACGAAAAGTTAGGTACACTAATCACCAGCTACCCTCACAGCTATGCTACATGGAAAAACTGAATGCCTGAATTCCCTTAGGAAACAAAAGGTTGAGCGGTAAAAAGCCTGAGTACAGGTAACATTTATCTAGGCCAGATTTAGGGTAGAGGGGGAGAAAACTTAGAAAGCCATGGCACATAGAGTTTAAAATATGCTATTAGCCACAAAGCAGGAAATCAAATATAAACTAGAGAAAACAGATCCAGCATTAGGTGAGTAATAGGGAATAAGATCATATTTGGAATAACGGTCCTGCTCCTGGACACCTCACTGGTTGAAGCCTCATTGGCTGACATCTGATACTAGGTGTTTTTGGATGTCGCCCTGTTTCTTCCATTATTAATTTTGTGCTTGAGGGCAAATGCCAGCAGTGCTCATTTTAGTTTTTACCTCCTGCTGCAACTTCAACTGTCAGAGAGACAGCAGGAGTCAAAAATGAAAGGAGCCACCTTATAGAAATGCTGTGCCACTATGTCATTTTTAAACTGACAGCTTTTTACAGTCCAATTTCTCAGGGAAAGAAAAAAAGGACTTTCATTTTCACCTCCCACTGCTGCTTTGACAGAGAAAGACATTCACCCAGGTTTGAATGCTGGTGGGAGGCAAAAATGTAAAACTGCGGCAGAGTGTTTGTAAGTGGGCTTTGACTACCCTGGAGAAGGATAAGCTGATTCGGGACAAGTTGAACCCTGCCCTTTGCTTACCAGGTGGCGAAAAAAGAAAAATGTGTCCACCTGCCCTTAATGCATTAGATGGAAATTATTCTGAAGGATATAAGTGAATACAGAAGAGCTGGAGATACCTGAGGATTTTTCTTCATCAGGAAACATAAGAGAGACTGCCACGGTAAGTCTTCAGTCTATAAGAACTCAGTAATTAAGATTCTTCAGTGAGAACTTCCTTTGAGGAAGGTAAAAATATCTAAAAGCAGGAATTTAGGGAGAAGACAGCATTCTCCTCCTGTTAGTAGTATACACCAAGGAAAATGCCCCCACCCCACCCTGCAGAAAAAATAAAAAAAAAATCTGAGAAAAAAACTGAAGAACATGCTGAATGCTGAAGAACCATATATAGTATTTTCAGTCATCAACATAATTAGGTAGCAAAGCAAAATATTTGTCATAATGAAAGTAAAATAATAAGGAACAGCAAGATTAAAGTGCATCTATGATAGATCCCTCTAGCATCCTAATCTGTCTAGCTTCCATGACATGTATAGTATTTAGAAAAGACAGAATCTAATATAGTAATAATATAATATAGTAATATAATATAATCTAATAACAGCCCCTTCTCACTGCTTGATTCACTTTTTCATTTTCAAAATATCTGCTACACAATTCTGAGCTCAGATTTTAAATTAATTGCAAGTGACAATGTTATTCAGGCTGAAGAAATTAATCTCTTATCATTTAAAACTGTCTATTGTTAATCTTGTATTCCTTGTTTTGAGTCTCTGCTTCTGACTATGCCCACGACCTTGTCAGGCTGAGAAGGATGCACCTGACTAGAACATGCAAAATGTTTGGCTCTCAAGGACAAGACCACCGAGCACCTCCAAATGTGCTGTTTAGGGAGGCTGTATGAAATAGCAGCACAGCAGTTGTGCCTGGAAAAACATGTATGCTTACAAAGAAAAACAGCATATACTTATATATGCCATTTAATAACACACACACACAGAGGCACACATATGTGTATATTTAAATATATAGGGTTCATTAAAGATAGACACAAGCAGTACACTGGGCTTTTTAATGAAAGTTTGGCAAGGTGAGACATAAATTGAAACTACTTCTTCAGCCGTAATTCTATTTCAAATTGTAATTAATGTCATGGGGCTTGACTCCAAATGTTTTTTCCCCTATACGTGGGGTAGCAAAATAGCACTTGGAATTCAGAATTGTTTATTACATTCTATTTTCTGCTTATTTGTTTAGAATCTGTTATTGTTAGAATCTGAAATCCCATTTCATTTATCTAATTTCATTGATAAAATCTTTTTTATTCATGTATTTCTTATTTTCTGATAATTCCACACACAGAAAGACCCCCTCAAATCAGGCACTAGCCTGGCCGTTTTCCAAGATACTTGGCTGCAATCACAAAACGACAGTCCTTTTTCCACTCAGCTTTTTCATTTGCACAAGACACATAGCTGATCCACAATTTTTATTTAAAATATGTGAGCTTCCACACATGAATGTTCTGTAAGGAATTAAACGAGTTCTCTGTAAAACTGCCTTGTGTGTTTCTGGACCTTACAAGGCTAGGAAACCTCAAACATATGATTTGGGCAAAAAGCCCAATATAAATGATGCCTGCGCAAGTGCCCTTGTAAACTGAAATATAATCAGCTGTATTTATGACTAGTCTCTTGATGGGCACATCAAGATAATAATAACTGATATATAAAAAAAGTAGAAAAGGTAGGACAATGCTAAATAAATTTAATATAAAATAAGTAGTGGCTGAACTGTAGCTCTTGAACCGATCGCATATTCACTTGCAAAAACAATTCAACAATAATATTTTATTTTATTATTTCTTCTGAGTTGTACTGTAATTTTCAAACTTCCTATTAAAGCAGTATATGGCAAATTTGGAGCAGATTTTGAAGCTTGCTGTGCAGGGAAAGGCCAATAAGGGTAAAGTAAACCAAGAAGCCCTGAGAATCTGCATACCGTCTTATCTGCAGAAACATCCACAGTCTGCCGAGAGCATCATTTTGTGCAGGTGGAATTTATTTTGTATCTGTGGTGAAACTGCGTAGAGCTGTCTGCTTTTCACCATTCCTGGGTGCTCCAAAGGGGACCAGAGAGCTGGTATGGAGACAAAGGGGACAGAGAGGAGACATGTCTGGAGGAAAGAAGAAGGAAAAGGATTTGAGATAAATGCAGCAATTTTTTTCTAAGGAGTGATCACAGAAATGGGGAGTAAAAGAGCCTAGGTATCTTCAGAGGTAATTGTGTGGAAAAAGTAGAGATGGGTTTCTCCTAAGTAATAACCTTAGGAAAGAGGTTCTTATTACCATTGGTAGTAAAAGCAAGGCAGACTGCAAACAAATTATATAAAAGGAGGGTTTGGATTTTGTTTTTATTTTTTTTTTTCTTTATTTCCTAAGCTCATCCAAAGTTTTCCCAGCTTCGATCTGAATTCAGGCCGGCTCCCTATGCACCACTGCCTGCTCTACGTGCTGTACAGCTGAGTTGTTTTTCCACGGCCTCTCTCTGCTACTTCAGCTCCTGAGTCAGCTGTGGACATCAGCTCCACATCACAGGGTCTATCAGCGAAAGCACCTGAAGAGTCTGAGGAGGCCTAGTGGAATTTTGCCCATCTCCCATGAAAATCCTGTTAAACTAAAAGAACCACGTGGCTGAAAATGTTGTGCACCTTCATTTCAGACTGTTTAAAACTCTGGCCTCTCAACCAGGCCTATAAAGCCAGAGGCCAAGTCAAACTGAGCGTGTGCGAGCTGTATGCTGTGCAGTAAAGGGCAGAAAACAAGAGAGGAAAAAGCTGAAACAATATTGGGTTTGACTTTGCATAGAAATTTTCTGATCAGAATTTTAATGTATCATATGTGAAGTCCAAATTCCTCTCTTATTTGCACTGATAGCTAGAGGAAATGTTTTGACTGACAGGAAGTCAGTTTATGTTCTGATATACAACTTTTCATTACTACCATGTTATATAGGTTCAGCATGAATCCCCAAGAGCAAACTCCCAGTATATCCTAGCACATTGTTCCTTTTGCTCCAAAATCCTAACTGAACTTTTATGTTTATTTATTTATTTTCAAAATCCTTCTTTCTCAGTCAAACCGCAAGTGATTTCTTTATAATTTCTATCTTTTACTGACTGCTTGACCAGCTCTGAGTCTCACCTTGTTCCCATTAATGTAAACTCTCTGAATTTTGTGGGGCCAATTATACAGAGCTATATAAGCAGACTAGCTTAAAAGATACACTTAAGTGTGTTTATAGGATCAGGCTTCAGTTTAGGAGATTTTTCAGGTTGCAAAATCTGATTTCTTATAAGGCAGAATGGTTGCATGTTGTAACTGTAGGGGACTAAATATATTTCTAGTATAAATTCCATGATGAAATAGCTGAGCAACAAGAAGTCATCGGGGTAGGGCTGGAACATTGCTACAGCAGGACCAACGGCTTCACGTTCACGTGGCCGGGGAGCTGCACCAAGCCCCACGACACGAGTTGCACGGTATGGCACGAAAGCGAAGGCCAGGGTGGCCAGCAAAGCACAGTAACGAAAACCTCTTATAGCTACAAGAGTTCAAGAGACTACAGCGCTTGCTGTGCAGCTTTTGATCATGCCTACTCAAAAAGCACCACTAATAACAAAAAAATCCAATAACTGAGCTCTGTATTTTTACTAAAGGGGATTCTAACCACTCCAGCAAGGATTTTATGGAGTGATGTCTTTCAGAAATATGTGTTAGGAATAACCATGCCAAAGAAAAACACCTTCACTGCCATTTCTACAAAGAAAGGAATCTCCGGATGTAAATGATCTCCTTGCATCAGTCCAACATGGAATGTTTTGGGAGGGGAGTTGCTATAGATGATGGAGTCGCACAGAGGATCCTTTGCCCCCTCAAGGTTAACTGAATGGCAGCTGAACCTAGGCTGAACCATACGAATTACTGTTAAGCAAAAGCAAAAAAAAAAAGTCCTTCTAAAATATTTTTGTCTTTCTGATTTGCCCAGAAGAAGTTACAAAATAAAAAAGGGAATATTTTAAATTACTTTGGTTTTCTCGTTCTGATGGAAAGAGAGAAGGAAAATTAGATCTCACCAAAAAGCCTCTTCTGATACCGTAATTTTCTCTAACCAAGAGGTTCAAAGGTATGGATGAACATCAGTATGTTTTACCCTTTAGTAATAAGAAATGAATGACTTCCATTTCATTACCACCCTGCTGTTACTATAATTGATATATATTATTATACTAATATTCTAAAGCTCAGTACTACTAGATATTAAGCAAACATAACTATCTCACTGGAACAGATTACACTGTTTTAAGAATTACGGAGTTATTGGGATCTGCTTGAAACAATAGTTCTGGAGCCTGCTGAAACAATAATAATCAAGGCCTTAAATTACAGAACTCTTTACTCCATAAGATCACAGCTACAAGTCTCTTCAGTT